GCCTTCGGACGCGGGGACACTGACGCCCGGGGAACCAAAGAGAGCCCCGCGGCCGCCAGCTCCCGCGCAGGCTTCTAATTAGAACCCGCCGCCGCCGCATTCCTGGGCGCTAGTGGAAGCGCCGTCGCCCCCGCGCTTCTTCTGTAAAGAAGGGCCTTGCCACCAGCCTCTGGCCACCCTGGGCCGTGGAATCGTCCTCCTGTTGGCGCCGAGGGTCCCTGGCCGTACTCCCCTCAACACACATATGCCACTGTCTCCACCTGGGCCATCTGTGTTCCATCTGAAAGGATCCTGAGACAGGCTGGGTGCGTCCGGCATTCTTCAGGTAGAGTGGGGAGGGGCGTCCTCTCCCCACCCCCCTCCATCTCAGTGACCCACCCAGTCAAGAGTCTAGAGCAGCCCTTTGGCCCCAGAAATGAAGAGGGTGCCTGGGACGCCCACTTTGCTCTCCATGGGATTCGCACTCTCCGTGATTGTTTCCTGAGAAATGTCTCTGGTGGACGCAACCTCAAAGTTCACTGAGGATCAGCAATTTCCTCTCCTCCCTCCTCTCTGCCCCCAGGCCAGCAGGACGCAGGAAGGACATGGTCTCTCCACAGCGCACATAGGCAGCGTAAAGAGGAGGGCTCACAGAAAAAAAAGAAATGGAGTTTAATAGCAGGCAGAAGGCTTTCTATCTTCCCACCATACCTGGTGGAGTTTCCCACAGGTGGCTTCTCCTTCCTCTGGCCACCCTTCCCCCCAGCAGCCCAGTCAGGCCTGGGACCAAACCTCTCTGTATAAGTTCTCACCTTCACACTCAGCCTCCCTAATTGGCATTCTGTTTCACCTTCCCTCCCCCAAATGAAGCCACTGCTACCATCCCTTCTTCCCCCCACCCCAGCCCCTCGCATATGAAAGTGGAAGTGACAGGGACTTCCTCACCTGGAGAAACAAGGAAACAGCCCAAATTGGGAGTAATTAGGCTTTGAAGTTGGTGTGGTCTTGGTGGGAGGGTAGAGGGGGAGGGAGTGGTGCTGCATCCTCGGGGAATTTAAAGAGCCAACTGCCTCCCCAGGAGCGTCTCGGAAGGTCCTTCATCCTAGACGCTCAAGGTCCAAAGGCGGGTCCCAGCAGAGGCAGACAGCCCTAGACCACACGTTGAGGGCTGTGGAGACCTCCAAGAGCATGTGCTCTGGGCTCCTTGTGTGACAGTAGGGGTTGGGGGGGGATCCAGAGAAGGGACCTGGGAAGTGACAGGACCTGGGCATCTGACCCCAGAGGCACAGCATGGCCAGCCACCAGTGTCCCATAGTACTGCAGACCTACAGGGAGGCGCCGGCCCCCACTCATCACTCTCCTTGTCCAGACTGAATTCTTGCTTAATTAAATCGGAAGGGTCCATGTGAACACAGACCAGGCATCATGATGAAGGGGGACACACAGAACCCTTGAAGGGCAATACCTAGTAGGTACCAGTGCTGCGTGATGTGCTTTGGGCATCTTCATCCCGCTTTCCGTGTCTAGGCTGATGGCATCCTGTAATCCCCCGTCATCTAGCCAGGGGCCCTGGAGGTCAGCCTCTTTTCTCCCTTGTCCCCTCGCCAAGGCCCCTCCATTTCCCCCACCAGGCTGCACTGCTCCATTCCCACCATCTTCTGCCTTTCTCCTCATCACCCCCTCACCCTCCACTCCAGTGCACACTCTCACTGCTGCTGGAGTTACAGCACGATGGTCAGCTGCTGTCCTGCCTCTACCTGCCAGAGAGCCCTCCCTGCCTTTCCTTGTCAGGACCCCCTTCCTGCCAGTCTCTGCTGGACCTCGGGCTCCCCAGCCCTGAGTGGTCCCTGGAGTGGGCATCACCCCCAGATGTGAGGCCACACCCAGTCTTCTCCCACCCCTGGACCAGCTCAGTAGCCTGAGACATGATCCCAGTGCAGCATTCCCTGGTTCTTCCCCCTTTCACTGCCTGTTCACCCTCCTCCCTAGCCCCCTGCACCCCCCCATTCATGTGCAAGCAGACACCCTGCTCTGAGCTTGGTCCCGGCCCCAAGGAAGGCCAACTTAGCCATCACCTGCCCCTAGCCTCCAGAGTCTCCTCTCTGCACAGCTCTCCCTGGTGCCAGACCCACCAGGTCCTCACTCACAGGGTCTTCTCAGTCTGAAGTGGGACACAGGCTTCCCTGAGTGGGTCCCACTCTTTGTAGGGTGCCGGTGCACGCTGAGTTCAGGGCCAGTGAACAGGAGCTCTGGAGGCACTACCCAGGACCCACAGCCTCAAAAGGCGGGTGAGGTGGGCGAGGAGGAGGGAGAAGAGGAGGGCTAAGTGACCACGCAGGGTGAGAGATTGCCCATGTCAGATGACGCGGGACCTGGGGGAGCTGGGCAAGGCTCTGAGTCTTCTCAGACAGGCAGGACCCAAGCAAGCAAGACTTCCTGAGCCGCCCTGCCGCTGTGCACCTGTACTCCTAAGAGACCCTCCGCAGGACAGCCCTCTCTCCAATCCTTTCTCCTCACCCTGCCCTGTTTGTCTGTTTATCTCTATCTGTCTCTCTACCTCTCTGTGTCTGTCTGTCTGCCTCTGTCTGTCTCTGTCTCTCTCCCTGCCTCTCTGCAACCCTGAGGCTGCACTACCAATGGTAGTGGTAGCCCACAGAGCTAGAGAAATTCAGACACCAGCTCAACACCCCCAGTAATCTCAGGGTGCTGGGAATGATACTCCTCCACAGAACCACCAGTGGACATCTTTTAATGAAGAGCTATGTTAGAAATGACCGCAGGTAAAATACATACGGTCAGAAAACTTGTTCTATACCACTAAGTCAAATATCCATCACCATCAAGAGAGAAAAAAAAAGACCCACCATAGCACATGCTCCTTCCAGAGCACAGAAATATCACTTACCTCTCACGTCCGGCTCTCTCTGACTTGCCCACCAAACCCCCAGGACTCTGCCGAGTGAAGCAACTTCTCCCAGGCTGGCTAAGCCTGCATTTCACTGGGCTTGCTGTCTTTTATTAAAAATGATTTTGCTTTATTTGCACAAACCTGCTAGAATTCTTTGTGACAGGGAAGAGGGTGAGAAGATGCAATCATGGAGGAAGAGTGTGGAGGGGCTGTAAAATCGCCCTTTCCCCAGGCAGTCCCCAGCATGCATCTCCAGTCTGCAGGGACAAGGACTGCCCTGTCCAGGAGGGCCTCTGCCCCTTTAAAGTGTGCTTGAAGGGCTGGGGCCACTTGAGACGTGTCAGGGGAAGACCCCGCTGCTGTTTGCTGTGTGCGGCGGTTGAGGAAAGGCTTCTGTATATTACCAGTGAAGGCTGGGAGCAGAGGCTACTGGTGGCAAGGAAGCAGATTTTGGCTCAGTTATAGGGAAGGCTTCCTGGATCTGAGAGTGATGCCATTACCGGTGTTTGGAAGGTGGTGAGCTGCCCATCCCTGGAGGGGTAGAAACAGGGGCTGAGGAAGGAACAGCCTGCCCCAGGTTGGGGGTTCCCATGGACAGCTCAGTGGCTGAGAATCTGAGATTGACAAGGCTCAGCTCCTCCTCCCACCCCCAACGTGGTCAGCACTGCAGCTAACAGTCCTGGTAAGTCCCCCAAACTCCACCATGCACAGTTGGAACTTTGGTTCATGAACTTTGGTTCACGGTTACTGTCACACACACACACTACACGTGTCGGGGGTCCTGGGTGAAGCCTTGCAGAGAAGCCCCTGGCACAGACATGGAGCCATGGCCCCATCCTGGGGTGCCTTTCCGCTCACCACCAGCAGCGTGTCCTCCCCACCTCGCGCGCCTGTATCCCATCACACTTCCCCCAGCCTGGCTCAGCTGGTCCCAGAGTTGGCCATGCCCCACTCCTCACTCCTCACCAGGCTG